GTCAGTTGTGTCTTCCAGGGTTCCAGAAACCTCAAGAGCATACTCTGATTGTAAGCTGTTGGGGGGATAGCATATAGTCTTTTATTTTAAAGGATATAAAGATATGTTTATCTTTTGGTATAGCATGGATTCAGGAAGACAGCCATAGCATATTTAAGTCCAGTTTAAATACACCAGTGATCTGAAAGCATATAGTTTTGAACTTCAAAAAAAGTGACATATATTTACCCTTTAGTATAGCATGGAAACAGGAAAGCCAGCCATAGCACATTTAAATCTAATCAAATAAATAAGTCCATGTAGTTAAATTAAGATCATTGTCTTCATAAGAGATGGCTTAATGAACTGGCTCACAAAGTGAACTATTTATATGGTACTGAAAGCCTTCTCATTAGTATATTACTTTTCATGATTTCATATGGCCAAAATTTGTCATATAAAATTCCTTTGGAAAGAAGGGAATAGGTTGCAATGTTTAGTTCCCAAACAGCAGGCTTAAAACATTTTTGCATGTTTCTGCAATTAGTTCCTATTATTTATAAACACCTTCCTTAGCCTTTAAAATTTTTGCCTACTATGCACTTTGTATTACTTTTCCATGTTTAGAGATTTTTTTTTTTAAGTCAGAGTCTTACTCTGTTGCCCAGGCTGAAGTGCAGTGGCATGCTCACAGCCACCCTAGCGTCGACCTGCTGGGCTCAGGCGATCCCCCTGCCTCAGCCTTCTAAGTAGCCAGAACTACAGATGCGTGCTACCACGCCTGGCTAACTTTTTGATATATTGTAGAGGTGAGGTCTCACCAAGTTGCCCAGGCTGGTCTTTAACCCCTGGGCTCAGGCAATCCTCTCTTTCCTCGGCCTCCCATAGTGCTGGGATTACAGGCTTGAGCCATCATTGTGCCCGGCCTAGAGATTTTTTTTAATGTCAGAAAATCAAAATCTATCTTTGTTCTCTTTGATAATTACCATACACTTGCAAGGAAGTTGAAGTTAAGAGAGTGCTATTTTGATAGAAAACAGTTGTATTAGGATTCTCCAGAGAAACAAAACCAGTAGGATAAGTATAAATATATAAATACATAAACACACACATACAGAGATATATACACATAATTTCTGCTATAACAGAATACCACAGACTGGGTGAATTATAATGAACAGAAGTATTTTGGCTTCATAGTCCTGGGGGCTGGAACGTTCAAGATTGAGCAGCTGGCATCTGGTAAGGGCCTTCTTACTGTGTCTTGATAGAAGAGCGAAGAGAGGATGAGAGGATGAGAGAGAGGGAAAGAGAAGAGGAGACTGAACTCACCCCTCTTACAATAAACCTGCTTCTGAGATCATGGCATTAATCTGTTCCTGAGGTCAGAGCCCCTACTGCCATTAGGCCCCGCCTCCCAGCATTCCTGCATTGTGGATTAAGTTTCCAAAACATGCTTTCTGGGGGCCACATTTAAACCATAGCAAAGACCTAACTCAGATGTTACTGCTTCTCTAAAGACTTTTCTGATGTCTCTTCCTCCTTTGCAGAAATTGACCACTACCCTTGTCTTTGTCACAATACTGTAACTTTGTCCTGTACTTACTAATAGACTGGTCTGTGCTTTTCTTCTGAACTGTAAACTCCCAAGGGCAGGAACCATGTCTGATTTGTCTTAGATTTTTAGAGGCTTGAACAGTGCTTGATTCATAGCTACCATAAATATTAATTGAAATGAAGCTTTCATGTGTTTACATGACTGCAGATTGTAGGGTAACTCGTTGTCCCAGTTCTTGTTCGGGGGCCAAGAATATTTAAGTAAAATTTTATTTTATTTTTTAAATTTTTTTTTTTTGAGTTGGAGTCTCACTCTGTCGCCCAGATTGGAGTGCAGTGGCCGCTTCCAGCCACCGCAGCCTCGACCTGCTGGGCTCTGGCGATCCTTCCACCTCAGCCTTCCAAGTAGCCAGAATTACAGGCATGCGTTACCACACCTGGCTGATTTTTTTGATTTATTGTAGAGATGAGGTCTTGCTGCCCAGGCAGGTCTCAAACCCGCGGGCTCAGGCAATCCACTCACCTCAGCCTCCCAAAGGCGCGGGATTATAGGCTGAGCCACCGAACCTGGCTTAAGTAAAATTTTAAAAGATATTCCTTGCTGTCTAAATTCTCATTAGTTGACCTCCAGGACCAAAACCATGGGATTTAATAGGGTTTCTTCACTATTGGAACTCCAGAAACTGAATATAGGAGTATTTTAAAACACTGGGTCAGAACACACAGACCCAGTTTTGTGTATGGATAGAGATGGTTTCTAGGGCTTATATAATTTATTTCAGTGTACATAGTTGTTTATGTTACCTTCAGTGACACTGGACGTAGCACAGCCTGGTGGTCCTTTAAGCCATATCTTTTATTTTTGATTGGCACTGTCCTATCTCTTCTGGCTTTGGTCATGGTTACTAGATGTGCTAGCTTCAGGAAGGGACTGCTGCTGTCACTAGAGTACCAGACTGTGGTGGCATATAAATTAGGATTTCGTAAAACTAGTAAAAAACAGAAAACTCAACTTTATGAACTTTTACTAACAGAAAATTAAAAAAAAAAAAGTATTCCCACAAAATATAAGCGGTACATGGGCAAAGTTAATACTTTCCATGTGTAAATGATGAGAGTGGTTTTATTTCTGAGTATGGTATTGTATCCAGTTGGAATATATAGCTAAGCTGTTGTTTTGACTTTGAAACATTGAATTGAAATGACATTTTCATTCTGGAGGAAGACATGTTAAGGGAAAGCGATCATTACTACTCTGTGCCAACCACAGGGCTAAATGCTGCCATGTGTGTTATTGCATTGAATTCTTACAACAACCATGTTTACTTCAATTTCTTTTTTTTTTAGATAATTGTAGATTCACATGTTGTAAAAAATAATACAGAGACACCCATGTATCCTTCATGTAATTTTCTCCAATGGTAACATCTTGCATAACTTTAATAAAGTATTGCAATGAGGAAATTGTCGCTGATATAATCCATTGACCTTATTCAGATTTCACATTTTCTGTGCACTCATTTGTGTGAGTCTGTGTATTAGTTCTTTGCAAACTTACCTTATGTGTGGTTTGCCATTTCTTTTTAAACTCTTGAGGTAAACAAGGTTCAGATGAGTTATGTGAAAAGCTCCAAGTGTAGACCTGAAGTCTGAATCTAGGTTTGTTTGTTCCAAGCTTTTGCTTTTTCAGTAATAATATGATTAATAACAATAATAATAATACAATGACTGAAAGTCACTGAGTTACATATGAAACTCAGTATTTGCCATGTAGCAGAGACTGTTCTAATGTATTGACCCAATTAATCCTCCTTACAGTGATATCATTTAAATTATATCACAGTTTAATTAGTATCCTTAATTAAACTCTAAGTCATATTACCAATGTAATTAATTTTGCAACTCCTGAATTCTGTAACAAAATAATGAAATTCTACCGTTTTTACATTTCACATTTTGAACCTCTTACCTTAACTACTGATCTTGGCAATTATTGATTTTATATGTATATATGTGTGTGTGTGTGTGTGTGTATATATATATATATATATATATAGAGAGAGAGAGAGAGAGAGAGAGAGAGAGAGGGAGGAGACTTGTATTGTTCTAGATTGAGTTAGGTTGAAATACCTAAAAAATAGTTTTACTACATTGTTAATAAGAGCTTGTTTAGGCAGAATGCCAGGATTTTGAGGAATAAATGTTAACCATCAAGACTACTTCAGAATGTAATTGGGAGAAGATTTTTTTTAGTAGAGCATTTTAGCTTTTCTTGGCCAAAAAAGACTCTGGGAATGTTTGAATTTAGTCAAATCTCTCAGGCTCCATACCTGAGTTTCAAAGTGGTATCTAATGCATTTGGTTGTGAATTATCATGGATTAGCAGAATATTAGAATGCCGTAGGAAGATAATAGATATACTAATCAGCAGCCCATACTTTACTATTTTTTGCTAGTTAAATGTCTTGTAAAGCTGTCCCAGTGATGAACAGCAGCACTTATTCAGACCAAAAATAACAACAGTCCCGTGTGTTGTAGATCCCAAGAGGTCTTGGTGTTTTCGTAGACAGCAGACAGAAATAAAAGGAATTTTGTCCTTTTTACCTCACATAATCCCACTGGAAAATGAAACATGTGCTATGAGTTGATATTGACTTTTGCCAGGTCACCTCCCCAAGGAGTCAGGCAGGCACTGTTACATTTCTTGGACAGGCGTCTGATGGTCTCTGATGGAGATGGATGGTTTGTGTAGCGCGCTACTGTGGAACACTGAGCTACTGTCTACCCTGGGTGCGTCCGGTGAGGGCACCACATGTAACCTGCATCTGCTACTTTAACTCTTTCAGAGGGTATTAGGTAAACTTTACATCCCTGAGTTATAAACTAAGTTCTACATTCTTTCCTTTTTTGTTAATGGTTGACTATGATAATGCACTATGAATGATTTATTTTGTCTTACTTTGTAAGCTTTCTTTTGGATGTTAAATAATGCAAATGTTTTTGAAGCTTTATTAGTAGGAACTATTTGGAAACTACAAAAAACCTTTTTAATGGGCCACCCTATCAATTTTCTGCTCTTCTAAGGAAGTTTTTCCTATTCATGACTCATTTCACTCTTTGGCTCAGGTTGAGGGAAATGTAATAACGATTAAGGGAAGGAATGTATGCGTTTTCTTCTTTTTTTGAAAACCTGTACACATTTTCTGTCTCGGGTTATGTAAACTTGGATGACTGTAGCCATGTTGACAACTGTGAAAGGTAAAAACTAGTCTGTTCATACATACTGCTTTGGAATTTGAAAATCAAAAAACTTCCCTTGCTTCTTTGGAGAATTGTTTAGCCTGATGGCCCAGAATACAGATCCAGTAAAAACGGCATGTTCCAGCTGTCATTTACACACACCTTAAGCGAAATTAATGAGATCACTCTAAGATTACGCTTTGTGTTTTATTTTCATTTTATAGGTCTGTATGAGCTGTTGGCTGCTCTGCCAGCCCAGCTGCAGCCACATGTGGATAGCCAGGAAGACCTGACCTTCCTCTGGGATATGTTTGGTGAAAAAAGCCTGCATTCACTGGTAAAGGTAAACCATGCTGATGTCAGATTCTCTTTGCGAAAAGCATATGGAAAAATATTTTGAGCACCATCTAATAAACCAGAGATCAAATTGTTGCTCTCTGAAAACAAAACAGCCTTGTTCCATCTCAGTGACAGGCATGGAAGTTGTTAAAGATTCTACCAAAAATACATAGATGATTTCACTTAATGATGGTGATCTGGCTGTGCATACTAATGCAGCAAACATGTGGTTGCCCTTGTTTAGAAAAAGAATATGAAATAGTAGCAGGAAGGTTTAGACTCCTTTATGGTCAACACTCATGAGCTGGAATTGAACTTAAATAAATGTTCACAGCAAAAATTAGAAGGAATATATTTTCTGAGGTCAAGGATGGCAGCAGTTCAGTAGCCACATTAATTTAAAATAATTTCCTTTAACAAAGTCAACTGAAATTCTAGTAAGCTGTTTCTTCCTTGGCACAGCTTCATCGTAAGGGTGTTTTGTATATAAATACACTAAAGCTAAATATGAAGAAAAACAGTTTTTGGAGACAGTTTTAGTAAAGCATCATGCCATGAAAATGACCAGGCAGCCCAAATCAGGTCTTGCCGCACAGCAACACTGGAAGTGATCAGAGCTCTTAAAATAGTGAAATGAGAACAAGGAGCTTACTGGAAAATATGCCACTCTTGCTGCTGGAAATATCAATGCATTTTCTCTCATCTTACTCAAACTGAAAGAAATTTGGTTTTACTTGAGCCTGTAAGAGGTAGAAACCTATGCCTCAGTGATAACCAGATCTATATTTAAGTTGGCTAAATCTGTTACGTTTGTTTGTTATAAGAGGTTCTTAATTGATGTATAGTTTTTGAAAATGAACAACTTCTGAGTTGCAATTGCTTCACAGAACAGAATTCTGATATTTTTTCTTGTCAAATTTACTGAAATTTGTGTGCCTCAAGCAGTGACAAATTCTTATGAAGTGAAAGTATTGATCTGTGGAATTTCCCTAGCACTACATTTAAAGACTACAGTGTTTTATTTGTTCATCTCTTTTGTTTTTCATCAAAATGTCATTGCCAAGGCATCCTTGTGCTCTGAATAATTTTAGGTAGTTTAGTTGCCCTCTTGGGGTTTATTAGAAATGGATTATAATGATGAAGTTTATGATTTGGTGATGCAATCACAAAAAATATTCTTATATTGAATGTATGGAAGTTGAATACCTATGGGTTTATTTAGATTGAGTTGATCTTTTTACAGAAGGGATAAAATATATTTGAAATGATATCATCATCATCATCCCTTAATCCTATCATCGTCGTGGTTACATATTTATTTGTATGTATTTGCTATGTCAGTTTCCTTACCTTTAAAATGAAAGTTGTAATGCCCATTAAAAAGGTTGTTCGTGCATTTCAGATAAAGTAATGCAGAACTTGAGCCCACAAGTTCAAGGCTGCAGTGAGCCATGATCATGCTGCTGCACTCTAGTCTGGGTGACAGAGTGAGACCCCAACTCTTAAAAACAAACAAAAAAGTCTCCTCCCCTACCTTGGGGAGGTGAATCTCCTCTTTCTCTCTGTCTTTAATTTACTTTCTAAATAAGCTATATTTTCCATTAAAAAAGAGTAATGAAGATCTAACCTTTTTATAGTTATATAGGTTAGCAAATTTAAGTAGACTTATTAAGTATTGAGGAAAAAGTTAATTATCATAGCATGTGAAGGACCAAAAAAAGAACTGCAGAGATGATTGTTATTTCTATTAAAAGAATAAAACTAATGTATAAAACAAATTCTTAGTTATACTGGCTTGAGTTTTAAGCTTAGGCTGATTTTCAAGGTATATGTCAATACTCAGTGGTTAGGAAGCATCCTGGAGCGTATTGATATCTGGTTTCATAAAAATAATGAAGCAAATAAGCTAATGTTGCCAATATTTAGATAGCACAATAACATGTGTACTATTTTAAATGTTTTCCAGTAATTACTATAAAATATATTTTCAAAATGAGTTTTCTTATGTACCTCTAGTACATTCTTAATTTCTTAATAGCTTCCCTCACCCCCAGCTGTTGTCCAGTGTGGCCCTCCGGTGTGTCCTTTGACTGACCCATTCTATTAGTTTTTAAATACGTAAAGTCTGCAAGGCCTCCAGGAGGCAGGCTCCTGGGATTGGAGCTTTAAACAGCTGGAACAAACTGCTTAACAGTATTCCAAGTGCATCTCTTTAAGGCTGGAGGGTAGAAGCCTTCCAGCTTTTGTGCATAAATCTTGGTAGAGCAAAAGGAATTTGTTTGAAAAGATTTAGTTTTAGAGTGAATCAAAATATGTTTGGTTTTATGCTTTTTTGCCTGCAGTTGAAGCTGTTAGTAAGTGATTTAGAACTAGATGAACACAAAACTTGAGTTTATTCTGGCACAAAATTTTTATAGTTGTCATCTTATTTTGTGTTAAAAAAGTGGTTGTAAATCACACAGTTATATATATATATATATATATATATATATATATGCATTTTGGTCTAATGAAAAATATACTTAAGAAGAGATGGTTTTGACATTACCATCTTATGATACTGAGGCATGCTCTGCAGGAATACTGTAGGATATGAGCTTGTCACTGCTGAGGAAATATGAGGATCCTATAGAGTGTTAGCTGCTGATATTATTTTATTTTGTTTACTTATTTATTTTTGAGTAAAGGATCTCACTCTATTGCCCAGGCTGGAGTGCAGTGACTTGGTCATGGCTCACTGCAGCCTCAAACTCCTGATCTCAAGCAGTCCTCCTGCCTCAGACTCCTGAAGAGCTAGGACTACAGACTTGTGCCACCGTGCCTGGCTAATTTTTTTATTTTTATTTTTTGTAAAGATGAGGTCTTCCTGTGTTGCCCATACTGGTCTTGAACTCCTGGGTTCAAGCAGTTCTTCTGCCTTGGTCTACAAAGTGCTGAAATTAAAGGCATGGGCCACTGCTCCTGGCCTGAGGGGAGATATATATATATATATATATATATATATATGTATGTTTTTTCTTCTTTTTTTAGAAAAATTGAATGGTTTTATAAAAATGATATATGTACATTTAAAATAATTCGAACAATACAGAAAAATTTAAATTATCCCAATTCTACCACCCAGAAATTACCATCATGAACATTATGCTTCTGTCATCCTAGAAAGCATTCCATGCAATTTATTGATAGAAGAAAAGACAATGAGATATTTTATTAAAATTTGGACCATAATACAGATGCTGTTTAAATAAAAAGTATTAAACTTGATTTTACTTGAATTTAAAAGAAGAAAAAGTTGAAGTGAAACTGAAGGGAGAATTGAAGTTCAAAGAATGCTTCTTGACCACAGAGATATTACTTCCTAAAAGATACCTCAAAAGTTAAGCAAAAATTGTGAAAAACATTAAACATTACGAGGTTAGAGTTATTTTCTTAAATTACACATTTCAATGATACATGAGTGTGTGCATGCATTGCTTTGAAATTAGTTCTCATGATTCTTTCCATCTCCCCTGACCTGCCTCCTAACTTTAATAGGGTACTATTGTTACATTGTCTAGGTTTATAATACTTATATTCTGTTCTGTAAACAAATGCATAATTACTTGATATACATTCTAAGTTTTTATGAGTTCAGTGCTCATCACTGGTCCTTTTATCAAGACTTTCCCATTTGCAAATTCTTTATTTCAATTTATCTCTCTCTCTTTTTTTTTTTTTTTTTTTTTTTAAAGTCAGGGTCTCATTCTATCATCATTCAGGCTGGAGAGCAGGGGCACAATCACAGCTCACCACAGCCTAGACCTCCTGGACTCTGGTGATCCTTCTGCCTCAGTCTCCTAAGTAGCTGATACAACAAGAATGCACCGCCACACCCGGCTGATTTTTTTTTTTTATCTTCCGCTAGTAGAGATGAGGTATCACTATGTTGCCTAGGCTGGTCTCGAACTCATGGGCTCAAGCAATCCTCTTGCCTTAGCCTCCCAAAGTGCTGGGATTACTGGTGTGAGCCACTGCACCTGGCCCAATTCATTTATTAATGGACTAAATTTAATTGTTAAGCTTTTTCCCAAGACTGGTTTTAGATGTTTAAAAATGCCTCTGTTGTCTCTTCACTGGCACCACAACCTGACTGGGTTTAATGTTCTTGAGCCTTACCTTTCCCACAGACTGTTTTGCCCCTTTTTCTAATGGGAATATGTCTGAGGACAGCCTGAATTCCTTCATAAATGACATTTTTTTTCCTGCTTAGATGCCTAAATAAGTCACTCTTCATCTTTTTTTTTTTTTTTTAGTTCAATAACAACTAAGATATGTCTTAGAAGTGAACATTTCTTTTTAATTTTAAAGATTTGGGGTACAATTCAGGATTAGGTCTACAAGTGGTCATCATACATATAAAATTTGGACCTCCTCTGGTCCCCACTTGGCCTGATTTGAGATCAGGTACCCTTGTTGATGCTATGTGACCTCCCTCCTCCCCTGCAGTGTCCCGCTACTGCCAATCCCCTTCTTATAGTACTATGGTTAATGTTCTCACTTATGAACAGAAAATAACTCCAACCCATGTGCTGAAAGGAAAAAAAAAAAAAAAAACTCCAACAAAACAGCCTCATTAAAAAAGTGGGCAAAAGACATAAATAGACACTTCCAAAAGACGTATGGGTAACCAACAGACACACAAAAAGTGCTCAGTCTCACTAATCATCAGAAAAATGCAAATCAAAACCACACTGAGATACCACCTAACCCCAATAAGAATGGCCATCATTAATAAAACAAAAAGCAACAGATGCTGGAGAGGATGCAGAGAAAAGGGAATGCTTCTACATTGCTGTTGGGAATGCAAACTAGTTCATCCTCTATGGAAAACAATGTAGCAATTTCTACAATAATTAGAAATTGACCTTCCATATGACCCAGCAATCCCCTTACTGGGAATATATCAGGAGGAACTCATTCTACCAAAAAGATGTTTATTGCAGCACTATTCACAATTGCAAA